TCCATCAGCAACTCGCTGTATGACACGGAAGACAACGCACTGTGGGAGGCGGCCAGCAACAAACTCCCGTCTTCAGAAGACAGTGATGCTTCGTCTGACGAATAGGAACAGTTGCGATGGTGGTTGAGGGGAGCTCCGACGATCGGGGTGCGATACACTTAATTCGCAAATAAAAATCGTTCGGCAATTTTGGGTTGTTTTCCTTTTTTTTTTTTTCGGTAACCTGAACTTGGGGGATCGACCTATATTCCCACTCGACCTATAGTCCGGTTTATACGGTATGTAGTCTTCACACAGCCTTACACTATCCAGCTATTGAACAATCTCTGTCCCGATACGTATGTCACCGAAGTTTAAGATTCTAGGTAGAAATAGGTATAAAACTGCGCATAAGTTGATGGAAGCCTATTACATTAAGAAGAAAGGAGAAAGGTGTATCAGCAACACGTCGGTGACGTACGTATCGGAGAAGAGATTGTTCGATAGCTGGATAGCGTAAGACTGCGTGAAGACTGCGCATGTCTGTATGTTGTTACTTAAGTTTGGGTTTGCGCTCGGTCTATTTTAATTGGAAGTGCCGGTCGTGCTTGTTGTTGTGTGTTTCTTTACTTTGTGTTTGTGATATTTGCAACTTAAGTATGTCATTAAGCAAACAAAACTTGATGCTGGTTGCAAAAATATGCATACAACGTCTCGCTTGTTTAGAGGGATTTAACAACACTGTCAAGGAAATTTTTATCTGCCCCGACACTGCACAGTATGAGAAGCTCCAGCATTTCGCGACTATCAAAATGCTACCATCGCAGCCGCGATTGAACCCGTGTGTTTCAGGTCAGTAGCCAAGCACCTTGCCTTCCCACACCCCCTCGAAATGCTACCGAGAAATTGCGAGCAGCAACAAGCATGTGAGACGCACGAGGCTCAAACACACAAGGCACACAACTAGTAGGGTCTCTAGAACATACTGGCTAGTCTACGCTTTATGCCGCGGCCGCTCGGTGATGCATGTGGTGATGGCGCTGTGGTCAATCGGAGTTCCTTAAGCAGACACCCCTTTTGCAGCTCCTGCTTACGGGCAGGCTGGCGGAGAGGTTTACAACAGCGTTTTCGTGTTTGCTTACCGCGTCACGTCGAGTGCCTGCGGTATTTTCTTTTAATACAGAAGGTGAAAACTGTGCACACGTAAATAAGGAATACCTTAGCGCTAGTTGCAGAATAGCATGAAGTGTCACTCAAGTTTCCCAGTGGTGACCATCATCCCTCGGTGCGTTCATGCTGCTTATCCCTTCAAGAGACAGAATTAAGAGCATCAAAATCTTTATTGATTCCTTTACATGAGTTTCGCCGGCATCATTTATTTGCATCTTCTCAACTTTAGCAGCTTCATTCTTTGCCCCTGTACATCTATTTCGCTGTTCAGTAATTTTGTGAAGAAGCAGAATCTAAGTAAAATGTAGAATTTCATGAGACTTTTTTATGAAATTCGAATGTTATTGACATCCCAGGTGAGAAAAATCTGTTTTTTTTAAACAAAGCGCTGAAATCCACAACACTCTTTTCAAGCAGCTTGCTCATGCCAAAATAAATAGCAAAAATATCTTCGAGTTTAGCAATAGCTGCTTTGAGGAGTCCAGAGGGGGTATGTGAGGCCTCCGTTATCAAAGTGTGCTGTGAACAAAAAAAAAAGCCTGGTCAGTCCCTGTTGCTATGCTTCTGTCTGATGTGAGACATGTTGCCCAAGTCTCACACTGCGTCTTTTTTAGTGTCTTATGCGCTACATAACCAGCAATATAAGTGAGCATATCGTGGCTTTTTTTTTTTCCACATATGCACTGTGGTCTGTGCGTGACACTAGTGGAGTCTCCACACCACTAAAATCTCCTCCATTGATGAGACTGTCAACGACGTCAATTGTGGCAGGCGTGGGTGGCCATTCCCAAATAAAAAGAGAGCTGATCACCAGTGGCAAACAGTTCCCCTACCTAGGTGGTATTGCAAGGTTATAAAATGCAAGGACATTTATTGTAACCAAAAACTGAGCTGCAGTGGGGTGATCATTTGTGGTGGAGGAGTGACGAAAGATTCTGTATATATCTTAGAGCTTGGCCTGGCTTAAATTTGAAGTCATCAAATATCTGAAACCGGCAGACCTGAGGAATTTGAGCAGTTGCACCATGCTCTCAATTTTGACACGGAGACCTTTTGCTGTGCTCGATGAAAGGAAACCGCCAATTGTGTTCGTAGCATGTGTCTCCCATTCTTTTCAAAAATTCTAGAAATTATTTTAGAAACGCACTGTTTGGCAAATTTGGGTATAGAGCGTTTTTTTAGGCGTTCGGGAAGTCATTATTTCAATAATTCTATCCATATTTTTTAATAAAGTTCTGAGTTGGCTCCACGGGGCCACAAGCTTTCTCGACCTTGTCGGAATACAAAAATAACCCCCGAATCACCTCATAACTGAAGAATTGAAATGCTCATACCACTCTTAACTTCTCGAATGCATTCGAATGAATATGAACATTCATGATGCTCGGCATCACCTTTAGCGTCAGACTTGGCTGTCATATTTCCATGCTTCTTTTACGAATCTAACATTTGCATAACCCTCCGGGGTATTAAACCCCTCGGCAGCATTCCTTACGTTTTTCAAAATGTGTCAGAAATGAGAAAGAAAGAACAAATGGGGACCGGTACGAGGTTGTGAGGAGCCTTGTACTGAATCCTACTGGCGGTTCCTGAATGAAACAATGTCATTAAGGAACGAACCTAGATAACTTCAATGGTGGATGCAAAAAACAGTGCAATGCAATGTTTTTATCGGTTAATAATATCAGAGCTTTACATCCGAAAAGTACGATATGATTAAGAGAGAGGCCTTAGCGGAAAGCTCAGGAGATTTGGACCATCCGGTGTTTTTTAACGTGCACTGACATCGCACAGTATACGGGCCTCTAATATTTCGCCTCCATCAAAATGCAATCACCACGGCCGGGATCAAAACCGCGATTTTCGGGTCAGCAGACGAGCACCGAAACCACTGTTCCACCTAGGCTGACTGTTTTATCTGTGCAAGACGTTCCAGTGTGCCCAAAGAACAGAATCAATGAAAACGTGTAGATCAAGCGAGAGCGCAAACTGAACGGCAAGGCGCAATGCCCCACCGATTTATCCTCAGCGACCAGTGCGGCACAAACCAAGCCAGTGCTCGGATAGATCGCAGCGCCCCCTGTGCACGCACGAGCGGTGTGGACACGGTCTTGCATGGGAACTTCACGGAGATGGCAGACTAGCTAGTTATTCTAGGATCATCATACAACTAGCATGACCATGTGCGCAAGGACAATAAAAAAAAATGCCAGAAATAGAAACCTACAGCGTATTAATGATGATGATAAGGCTTATTGGAAAAGAAAAGTTTCTATGTTTTGCTAGCCAAAGAAGATCAGACATGGCCTCCCAAACTGAAAGATAGTGCATGCTTCCAATTTTGGGGGCCACACAACTAGCCACTGCAAGCCAAACTCGACCAAACCAACAAGAAATTCAACATGGCGGCTTTCAAAACTGAGCGGCTTAGCCCAAAACAAAAAATTTCACCCGAAAAATCGAAGTTTAGAACAGAAGTTACCGTATTTACTCGATTCTACCGCGCCCTCGATTGTAACGCGCACCCGATTTCCACCGCGAAAAAAAAAACAAAAAAACCCTAAGACATCGATTGCAACGCGCACCCATTTTTCTCGCTGGCCCGCACGATCACACCACTCGAAAAAACGACTCCTTTCGGGAGCGTCTTCCATTTAAATATGAGGTACGGGCGAAGCTTGTGCCCATCTGACGTGTAACAGAGCATTGCCGTCACTGTAGCTTTACCATGGACCGATGTCAGCACGCGAACTTGCTTTGTTCCCTTCTTCTCGACGGTTGTGGTGCCAGGCATGTCGAAGTAAAGAGGCGTCTGATCGGCATTCCCGATTTGCCCAAGCAGGTAGCCGTTGTTGCGCCGCAAGTTTAGGACGAACCTCTGAAAACTGTGAAGCTTTTCATCGTACTCCTCCGCAAAGCTTTTCGCATATGCATGTTCCCCTTCGGAGGGAAAAGCCTTTCCTCTTCATAAAGTTAGTTAGCCAGCACCTGCTCACTTTAAACTGGCTCCGCATTAGACCTTTTTCTAAGACTAATTGCATAGCCCGCACTTGGAGCAGTTCTGTCGTCACGGGCCGCTGTGCCGCTCGCTGCTCAAGCACATGCTCGCCAAGCAGCTCTTTAATTTGTGGAAACCGACCCTGCTGTGGTCCACTGAAGCCTTTGCGTGAAGCTTTGCTGTCGACAATCTTCAGCTTTTGTTTCCGCCGATCAAGCACGCACGTTTCGGGAACTCCGAACAACCGCGATGCGGCCCGATTTTCGTCCGTTTCTGCACACGCGATGACTTTTCTTTTAAAAGCGGCATCGTGGTGCACTCGAGTTTTTGGAGTCGGCCCTTCCACGACGTCGATGCTAATGCACTACTAGATGACGAACTCCTCAGCACACGTATGAAGTGCCGCACATGGGAAACACATAGGCAGAAATGGCGGACGCGCCATGCCGACGCACGTAGGGGGCGGCCATTTTGGATTTGCCGATGGCAATAGATTGATCGTAATTTTTTTGTTCGTACTCGATTCTAACGCGCATGCAATTTATGAACTCGCCTAACCGGAAAAAAGGTGCGCGTTAGATTCGAGTAATTACGGTAGTTTTAAACATCAGTCGCCAAAATGCATTAGTGCAATGGAAACTTCGAAGGTGCATTTGTGAAGTCCGAAAAATTTGTCAGCAACTGTATCTAAATGCGACTGTGCAGCAATGAAACATGACAACGCTGTCTGCATAAATAGCGCCCCTGTTTTTTCTTAGAATAAACCTTGTTGGAAGTGGTGCCCTGCATGTGTGTTGGTCATCGTTTTAGAGCATTTTACCTCGAATCACTGAAAAGAAGGTTTGATACTCACCTGGCTGGAGTATCGGGCGTACGTATAATAGTGGCCACGATCGGCTGAGGTGCCCGAGTGGACCACCACAGCGTAGAGGACATAGGTTGGTTGCTGGCTGCTGTCAAGACCACAGTTGGAGGGCAATTCTAGGAGCTGAGGGAAGGCTACCTCGCGGAGAATCTTGGCTCGAGTTCCCGTAACACCGTCGTATGAGAAGCGCATCAGAGTCAGCACAAGATGCCTCGGGGGCTCAGCCAGAGCTACAGTGCGGCATGCGTCTCTTAAGGTGCCACACACACTGCAGTGGTATCTGCAAAGAGAAAGGGGGTGTTGTGTTAAACAAGGAAAACAGATGAGCAGGTTTCTGGTAATACATATGGTGGTGAACCTTGGCTACACGTATGTGGGGTGGCCTGAAACATTTACAATGCACCATATCCTCTCTCATACAACACACACAGAAACTATGAGAAAATGTGCTCAAAAAATGAAGGTTATGTTATAGGCGAGATTAAACTTTTTTTTATTGACCAGTCAAAAAGAGGGGACTACGGACAACTTGTCTCATTTCACTGCGAAGGTGTTTGTTGACACGTCCGCCGAGTTGGGCAATAAGCACAAGAATACAACCACCTGCCATGCTCAGTCGAACCCCACGGAGTGAGTCAATCGCAACAACAAGCACATGCTTGCTGCGTTCTCTGAAAGACATAAGGACTGGGAAACCTACCTTACAGAGATCGGTTTCCCATTTCGATCAACCATGAAGCAATAAGACTGGGTATGCGCCTTCTTTTCTGAACCTGGAAAGAGAACTGCTGAATCTGATGACGACCGTCCTCGCGAATCGTAGTGGAGTGCCAGCGGCGACATCAGCATGAGCTGAATACGCAATGCAGTTGTGCGAGAAGCTAGCAGAAGTTTTATGTAAAGAACGGCGTAATCTCAGCACTGCTAGAGCACAGCAGAAGGCGCAGTACGATCGCACGCATTGAAACATACGCTACGAAGTTGCCGATCTGATGCTGCGGTGCCATAATGTTTCCAGCGATGCTAGCAAACAGTTTGCAGCCTCATTGGCACCAAAATAGTCCCAGCCATACAGAGTAATAGAGAAGATTTCCTCGCCCATTTATCGGCTCGTGAACATGAAATGCAAACAGAGCGGCGGCCAGGTGCATGTAGGCGACTTGAACCTTTATGTGCCACGGGAGGAGCACGAAGACTACGGCCAGTCCCCCTTCAGGCCGCAGGTGGTGGGTGAGAAAGCTTGACACTGAGCGAGGAGCCCAGAGCCGCGTTACTTCCTGCATAACAGGTGGAGACAGCTCTGCAAGGCAGGCCGCGTTTGATATATTCAATGCGAGTTGTAATGGTTTGTGCGCAACACGTGTGTGAGGATTAACCTTTCCTTTATCTGTGTCGACTTTCACCAAGCAGATGGATAGTTAAAAAAAAAGAGGAGTCGCCAGGACAGCTCAGAGAGAAGACCGCTGATTCCCCGAAATCACACCCTCTCCCCCCCCCCCCCCCAACACCTTCCACGTCGCTATCGCAGCCCCTTGACAATCAAGCAACGCCACTGCCACCCTACCCCCATCACCCTCACCACCAAGCTTATGCGCAAGCGGTGCCTGGTGACCAATCGCCAGCCCAGTCGGGAGAGACAGCTGCCTCTAAGCCGCAGTGACGAGGACGTCACCACCTGGATGAGCCATGGTTGTCTGGACCCCCCACGGCCTCTGTTACCTCGAGGCCGTGGTGCAGCATACCACGGACGAAAATTCCAAGCCCACCAGACCGAAGAAGCCTAGACCAGATGCGGCAGCTCAGACCATGCTGGAGAGGGCAGCCTGACATCAGTGCTGAACGAGACGCTTCACAAAATGGCTGCTCTCAACCGTCACATCGGACTGAGTGGAGAGGCTCAACAGGGCGTGGTCTCGACCAGAGTGCTACCGGCGTTGGGTCTACTGCAGCAGTAACGATGGCAGAGGCGACAGCGGTGGTGATGACTGGCCATGATGCAAGTGGGCATGGCAGCAGCGGTGGTTACTTTGGATGCAGCGGCGACAAGTGGGGGCACCGGCTGCATCCTGGCAGAGGGCCAACCCCAGGAGAGCACGGTAGGGAACCCACCGTCCTAGCCTTCCTCGGTGATGAACAACAAAATATTCTCATGTTTCAGTTTCTGTCGTTCGGGGGCCTTCTAGCGAACGGATGGGTCACCCCGCGACCGGCGCACGCTATTCTTTTTTCCCAGCTCACGGAATGGGTTTCTTTTACCTCAGCAAAGGAACTTACCCTCGTTTGGGGGAATGATACCAAGACGTTGGTTAAGACGAGCGTGCTGACAGTGAGAGGCTCTCTTGTACCAGCCACGAGATGAAGGACAACCACCGGATACCCGCTGTGAGCCAAGGCGGTCGACGACCAAAGGCGTAAGACTCTACCCTATGTTATCTGCCTAGAACAGACAGACCTTCTGCACGACATTTATGCGTTATTGATAACGTAGCAATGAGGTGTTCTGTTGACCTGGCCTGTTGCCTTATTTGCCCAAACCCATGTAGCTGCAATGACTCGAGCTACTTTAAAGGGAGATGCTACTCGAAGACACTTTTTCTTTAATATTAACCCTAGAGCAATAAAACTTGAGCTGTTTATGGAACCTTTTAAGCTGATTTCAAATATATAATTAGTTTTCTTGCAAGTTACACACTTTTAGCTCTGCAACACGGCAAATGGAAAACCTTGACCCTTTTGCCCCCCCTCCCCCCCCTCTTTTCATCCCTAAAATTTTGTAATTTTTTACAATTAATAGTTCATAATGCTTCAAATAAAGTATACAGTGCAAATAACTAATTAGGAAGCACATACAAAATATGTAATATGCGTGAAAAATAATAGATGTAAAAAGTCCATATTTCACCAACCCTAGTAAAAGTATACATACAACTTTTTTTATTTTACAATAAAATATTGAAAGTTAAACTACATAATTGCATTTGTCATACTTTGGAAAAAATTTGGGCAAATATTCATGCAGATCCGAGCACTAGAAGTGCCCGAAAAATGAGGGGCACATTGAAAAAAAATGGCAATATTAATGTTTTGAGAAAAACGAGTTTTAAATTTAAAATAGAGTTTTTATTTATGAAAGATATTATTAAATCAGATGAAATTTGCACACCAAGAAGAACAATTCTTCTTGTAGTGGCCACTGTGACTAAAATACACCAGCACCATGAGTTTGTCCCTCTCGGCTTTTTTTGAGACAATTCCTCTTAGACATTTCGCTCATAGACAGGGCCATGAAACTCTTGCTAAACTTCCGCTCCATCTGGCAGAGCCTTGTGCCAACTGCAAGCTAGGAAGAAGTTCGACAGGACTGAGAAATCCAAACTAAGTCCAGTGTCATGCCATTTTGCAGCCATGCTTGTGCCACATACCGTCGTACTTAATGGCAATGTCGTCCCTGCTAAGTTTTCTCACTACGAGCTCTTTCGACCTCTCAAGATTGGCGCTGACATCATCCATTGCCGCATCACGAACTTTCCGGCTGACGGGTGTGAATGACTTTGATGCATTTGCTTTTGCAAGTCAACAACTGCCGCAAATTGGACCAGCTGCTCGTAGCCTATTCCTACAGAGCACGCCGCACAATGGCTTTCACTTGCAAGCAATGCCTTTTTTCATTCATAATGGAGATAATTACACGAGAAAAGCATTGTTCAGCTGTGCTGCTCGACAAGACACGGACCATGCAAATAGGTTTCACAGCACATACAGGCGCGCAGCGCCCAATAAATAGCAGTCCACGATTCGTACCATGTGATAAGCCAGTCGCGGTGCTCGAAAAATGCGCAGAAAAGTGATTCTTTTTATTTTTTGCGCTGCATCAGTGAGAGAAACTGTAGTTATTTGAAGAGTGAGGCTCGACTCTTCGACTCATACGATCAACAATGGTTAGCGGCGGCGCATTATCGGGGGAAAGGTGCTCAAAGACTGCAAACTTTCGGCCTTTTAACAGGCACCTTGTGCTCTTTAGATGAAATTTCAAAGCATTTCCAGTTAGGTCTCGACCTGTATTATTTTCTTCATAACAGTAGAGGTACTAATCTTATCAAAACCGGCAAAAATAAAAAATGGGTAATATTGAAAAAAACTTGCGTTTTTCGACCTGCATCTCCCCTTAAGGAGACGTTAATCGTGCACAGTACGGCTGTGTGTGGCTGAAACATTAGGTAGGCTTCTGCATCAGCCATACGTAGGACGGGCCCCTTCACAGTTAATTGGGGCAACCTGTATATAAACAGGGTTGATGGAAAGTAACTCCTTTTTAAGAACTGTTTATAACTTCTATACTACTCGATAAATTTTAGTGATGCAAAAAGTATAAAAATTAACTATAATAAAGTTATAAAATATATCTAATTGGCAGCTAATTTCGGCCCCCCACCCCTTCTCCCACAATACCTGTTCTCGCCTTCCATGCTCTCCGGTTCAAAGTAAGCCTCGAGCATGTCTTCCAGCGCCAGTGGCGTGGTCACATCCTGGTAGGACTCCTCCTTGACCTCAGTCGATGACTTTGATCGTGTCTGGTACACCTTGCTCTCACTGCTGCCAGCTATCCTGGACACCTCGGGGAAAGCCACGTGCAGGTCTGTGATTGCTTCCTTATTCTTGCTCTCGCCCTGGACCGAAGTCGACACATAATTCGTTTCAGAGTGTAAACACTGTTCTTGTTTCGCTAACACCAGTGCCTCATGGGTTCCAATAACTGGAACATTGTGTGAGAAGGGGTGCGAGAGCAGCAAACAGGCACTACAAAGCGGTACATGACATAGTAAATTTAGTAGCATAAATAAACCGTAATGCAGAGCACTGCAAAAAACAGGCAAAAAACAAGCAAGAGAATAAAGACACAGGATTCTCTTGCTCGTTTGTTGTCTGTTTTTTGCGCTGCACTACATTATGATTGACTCCTTCCAACTCACCCAACAAGCAACGTTACTTAGTAGCGCAAGGCAAAGCGATATGAGACACAAGGCAAATTGTGACATTGTGGCTTTGCCGAACACTATAGCCAATACCGTAAGTATTTTTCTGCGTTTCACTAGTTTAGCAATAGGTGCTGCTAGCTGTCTATCTTTTTATGTGTAAAAGTTAGTCATTGCTCACAGAGTTCGTGTATGCTGACAATAGTGTCAGAGAGCCCATTCCAATTTTTTATTCTTCAAGGCAGTGCAGAATTGAGCTTCATTGATTCGCACGTCCCGAACGACTCTGGACAGCCCTGGTTGCCGGCGCTGCATTAAATTTTCTCGGGGACCAACTGGAAGCTCCTCCCACTTGTCCGGGATCACTCAGACGCATGTACCTTTTTCGCGTGCCTTGCGGCCAAGTATCCAGTATTGCGTGCCCGGTGGCTCAGTTCAACACCCGAGACTGTCCAGCGATGTCTTTCGGGTGGCCAGCTGACGGCAGCGCGGTGCACATGCCTGTGCGGCCATCTTACGTTAGACACGGGAAATTTTCGACGCGCTCTTGATCACTATCTGTTTTTCTGTCCCCTTCTCGCATGTTCCTAGATTTCGCATCGTTTGCACACCCAGTCTTTGCCATCATTGTTCTGAGCCACGTCGAGCATGAGCGTATTCCCAAAGGTCAGGCAAACACACATTATACTCAGGAACAGCTGTGGAATGACCGCGCGAGTCTAGGATGCGTTTGCGCTCGAATAGTTCACTTACAGTAAGTCGCGTCACAACGGAAATAGGTATACTTCAGAAATATTTCTTGAAGGGTCAGTTGGTACATGATGCTGATGGGAACAGCGCGAAAAACGGGACAGAGAAAGAATGAACACACCTGGTATCATTCACTAACTGCTGTTGAGGTTGGAATCAGGTCGGCGTTGTGGCCTGTGTCACAGTCATGAAGGCAGCAGACGGCATAGCAGATGCCACAGGCCACAGCGGACGCAGACAGAATCAAGTGTGCAGATGGCCCGAGGCCACTCGGGATGGCTCGAGATTTTTGGATCATGTGCATGTGACGCAGCCACCCATGAGCCGAGGCTTCCGCGGGCCGCCGGCGAGTGGTCTGGGACTTGGTGAATCGATGAAGCTCAATTGTTAAATGTGTGTGTTTGGCCAGAAAGATGTTGAAAGCACGTGCTCATATTGAAGCAGCTCAAGAAGCGGCGTGGTCTTACAAGAAGCAGTGTGGTTTTTATACATTACGACGTCTGGGTTCAAATGGCGTTTATTCAGCCCAAGGACTACGCAGCGAACAGGCAGTTTGAGGCAGAGCGCACACACACCCGATGATGATGGTGGTGACACCCTTTGAAGATGAGGACAGAGACCCAGACGAATGATGACGATGATAATGTATAGAGGAGAAGTGTATAACGAATGCCCACAATATTAAATATTTTCACATACAATTATATAATGTTTTGTGTAGTAAGCTCATTAGAGCAACACCCCTATGAGACTGAAGGTGTAGAAGTGAAAGTGAATGCTTAATTTCTCTTACATTGATAGCCTCTTATGGTCATGGGCAATGAAGAGTGCTGCAGAATTCTGAACTGCTTCAACGAATTTTGTGAGATAATCCTGGCGGGGGGGGGGGGGGGGGGGGACAGATGGCTGATGGATACTCAAGCTCATGGCATACTAAAGTTTGGAAGTTGCCAATTTGCTGTAAAGATTAGGCTTCCGACAGCCTGAAGTGTGTGATGCTCTTGCGGTTATCTTTTCTGTGTGTAGATCATGATAGATGAAGTGTGAAATGAACACCAGGGTATTTGTAACGATTCATAGCAAAGAGAGCGTCATTGTTTAGGAAGTATGTAAAGAATAGGTTCGATAGGTTGCCGCTGTGGGAATTGAGGCTAGCCCGCCGCCTTTGCGCGGGCTTTGCCACCGTTATTGCCATTCTCATGTCCCAACATGACTCCCCTCCTCTGCTGTCTGCCGCCTCGAGAGAGCAAGGAGTGGCGTTTTGACCCCTCTCACCCGGTAGCGAATGTCGACTGTGGCGCTGTGCGCAAGATCTCCTGAGAGGTCTCGCGCGCGTTCGTCGGGAGCGGGTCAACTGGTAGGTGTTCTGTGAGCGGGTCAGAAACTCACCGAGACAGCTGGAGCCACGCAATCTTTTCCATCCGTCGACTCCCATCGTCGGACTTTGCTGACGGCGCCTCGCGCCCGAGGCGAATGCTCATCTTTTGTTGCCCCTCTGCGTACGCTCGGCCGAAGAGTGGTACGGTGTCCTAGTGCGTGGCCAAGCTACGCCGACCCGTCTCCCATCGAAGCCAACATGAGCGCCTTTGCCCTCGCTCGAGCAACTGGGCCTTGGTTCCGGTGTCTCCGTGGATCACCTTTACCGCGGAGACGTGCTCGTGGCACCCTGCGTAGTACTTTTATGCCCGTGGCGTGGATAAGCCTATTTGCTTTCCCGCCGTGCCTGTGCAAGGGGCTGTACTGCGTTTGGTGTAGCCACAGACAATAAAGTGTTGCGACCTTGAGCAGTACTGTGTTCTTGCCATGACCACGGTTAACGTGTGCCCTACGACTCGCTAAGACCAGACCCACGCTAGTGGCCGCACTCCTTCGGGATGCGTGTCACTACAAAGACCAGCTCTCCGCTCTAGATGGTAACATTGTCACAGCTTTAGGGCCAGAATGCTTGTTATTAGGGTGAGTACAATATTTTATTTATGTTAAGGTTTAACTGAAAAAGATGCCCTTGCATGGAAATCATAACTTCTCAAGAAGTGCACTTTTTGTCTCTGACAACAAATGAACAAACTGGTCACATGAAAGATGCGATGCAGCCCAGTGCTTTTGTGATGAGTGTCAGCTAGATGACAATGGGTTCACCTACATTCCAGTGCTATACTCACATTGCAAGTAAGGCAGTGGTAAGTGGTGCAGACAGCTCCCCCAAAGACCTCCTGGATGAGTGTTTGCCCTGTGCTTTGCGAGCAACTCAGCGGGAAGCTGTGTCTTTTTTCTTCCTCATGCGACGAATCGACGAGGTAGCGAAGAAACTCGGAGCAGTCCTGCTGCTCTCCCTGCTGGAACCAAGGCGGATTGGAGGTGTGCAGAAAATCCTCAGGACACACAGCTGGTCGCTGCAGTTCGAATCATTGATCAAGTTGGGTAACGACCACCACACGTGCTCACTACGGCAACAGCCGTTCTCACTTGTCCAGGAGATAGTAGCTAGAACTGGCATGCACTGAGTAGGGCACTGCCACTAGTTGGGCAGATTACATCACTTCTACTTCTCCTCCAGAGCTCAATAATAGTGGCCGCCACACTTCACGTTTGGCATCAAGTTTTGTTATAAATATTTGTGGACACTGAATATGTCAGATGCAACAACATGGCAGCATGTAGAACTTTTTCAATGCTCAAGCATTCCTACGCTGTCAAAATGAGAAAACTGATTGATTGATTTGTGGGGTTTAACGTCCCAAAACCACCATATGATTATGAGAGACGCCGTAGTGGAGGGCTCCGGAAATTTAGACCACCTGGGGTTCTTTAACGTGCACCCAAATCTGAGTAAACGGGCCTACAACATTTCCGCCTCCATCGGAAATGCAGCCGCCACAGCCGCCACAGCCGGAGAAAACTGCCCATCTATCCACCCGCCACACAACACGATCACTGCTATATAGAAATAAATAAATAAAAGCTAGCGTGCCCCCATAGCAAAGCCCAACCAACCACCAATATTTATAACCAAATATTGATATGCACTCCTGAACAACATTACTAGACAATTTCAGATGTCAAACTCCACCGCGGCACCTGACCTCTTTCTGTAACACCCGTGGAGCGGTGCACGTAGCGCTGGTAGAGGCAACGGGCAGAGGCGCCGAAGTGCATGCTTTTTTTTGGTCACTTTGGTTTTCTGTGTGCCAGGATAATGCTGCGGGCTTTGTGATAAAAAATTACTCCAACTCTTGCTAAAAGGAGCCATGAGGAGATGCAAAGCAGCACCTGTGGTGTACACCATGTTTGCATCGGTTTGAATGTGTGTTTGTGTTTTTACATTAATGTTCCCTTTTATGTTGCGTATTTAGTGCTATCGCCATATTTGGCGTTAGTGGCGTCGGCACCGTTGAAGCCCCAACGTTAAAGTTGTTTAGCAAAGCGTTCTGCACGTGTGTTGGACTAGCGTTATCTGTCCGCTGCCGACGCGTGGGCTCGACGCTGATGCTTGACTTCGATGTCAGTGTTGCATACGACGGGGTTTGCTTGCCGAGACTGCCACTGCATTTTGGCATATCGAGCTTGTGTTTAATCTGTAGCAGTTCCAGCTGACGTTGCCGTTTGCGCTGGGTTTCCTTTGACCGGAGCTTGGAGTCCGCTTAACAACCTTTACATTGCGCTTCAGCGCGTCAAGCCTTCCGCTTCTTCATTTGCTGTTCCGCGATCTCGCCTGGCTTGTAATGCTGAAAACTAGAGTGTAAGGGGGAGAGGCCACAGCCACACACAGCCAGTGATACAGGTCCGCGCTAGCGAGAGTTCCAGCGTGTTCTGACTAGGCGTTGCTTCATCGCGCGTCTACAGTATCTTGTTTCTAGACACCATCACTTGTTTGCTGAGAGAGTGTAAAGAGTGAGGCTTTAGGTGAGACCACAGCGACTTTCCTAGCCCCTTACACAGGCTGGACGCGCTAGTGCATTCTAGGGTGCTGGAAGTGTTTGGGCCAGATGTTACGCATGTGCAGTAGGGGTGCTCACGTCGCACGTCGAACCAAAGCCCACTCTAAGATGCTTTGCATTTAATATGCATCAGTGTTTAGCAAGCACGTAGCCAGAAATTTTTTCAAGTGGGAGGGGGGGGGGGGGGCACCTCTTAGGTTTCAGGGAGGGCACCCCCTTGAATTGGTCATTTTTTGCTCCCAATGCCATGGCGAAAAAACTTCGTGGGGGGGTGGCACGGGCCCATGGTGTGCCACCCTTGGCTACGCCCCTGGTGTTTTGTGACCAGCTGCAGGAGTGGCTACGACTCAGTGCGATCTTCGAGCGAGAAGAGCCTCTTTTTCAGGCCACTGAATACTGCTTCATGTCTTCGCGAATGGCAGCACGCTATTCTGAGGCTCGACAAAGCTCTTGTGTCATGTGTGACTTGCACTTATAGTCAGAAGACCTCGTTGGATATTTTATCAACAACGTCAATGGAGAAGTGGTCACTGTACCACTTGATAAGTGGCCGCTAAAGTAAGACGCTGTATGTCTCTTTCTCAGTAGTCCAAAATATTTCTCAAAGTTTTCAAAGAAGAGCAAGCTTCTCACTGTGCAACCAGGCTTTGACGTTAAGCGCTGCAAGAATCGAAATGGAGCCAAAATGAAAACGCAGTGCCCACTGGTTCTGACCATGATGAAGGAGTGTGCTCCACAGACAACAGGGTTACCATCAAAAGCTCTGCATTGCTCTTCGATGAGCTTTCGACCATCGCTAGAGCTCGCAAAAAAGTACAAGACGGAAAGAAAGAGCAGGGACACACATTCTGGATGGTTTATAATGATCTATAGGAATGCTGCCTCCCTGTTTTTGACTTTTCGCTGCGCAGACCATATGCTCACAATCACAGGCGAAGTGAATTTTTTATCGTTATGCAGATGCATTTTTACGCGAAGAATATAAATTTTCGACAAAAAAACATTCACAAGGTACCTGTAGCAAACAAGAAAGCACTTCTTTCGTGAATATTGCCAAACAGGCTTTTGTAGTTTTTTGTCATCTGGCCCGTTATACACATACATATAACAATATACCTCGCACGAAAAGCCTCAATGTCCTATTCACTCACCCATAGTTGTTTTTTACAGAGTGCACAAAGTAAGAAAAAAATTCCTTGAGGACTTGGTGCTAAGAAGAGCAGCGACACATAAGAGAATGAGACAGGGAGAAGTGACATTCATACGGCGGCGCATTGCTGCTTTGTGAAGCTTCCGTAGCAACCGGGCCGATTGTGGCGGCAGCGCCACCTCATGAGAGGAGACGGAAGAGGGCCACATTTTCGCACCGCTCCAAGGCCGAGTTTGACAACTGACAGGATCTAGTAACGCTGCTCCCAAAGATAAGTAATATCCTCTGTAAGTATTATCCAATACTGGCAAGCAACGAGCACCTTAGAAAAGCGTTTCCTTAAGTACCAAAGGCCTTTTGTTGTCTTAATAAGAATTTCAAGGACATGTTAGTGCATGCAAAGGTAAACCCACATTCTACTGCCCACATAACACTGTGCTATCTTCCAAGATGTAACAATTGCAAACACCTTTAAGATGACAATATACACTAAAATCCTGAACAAGTGCACCCCCCTCCCCCCCTCTCCTATACAATGAAAGATAATCTGACAATATTTGGGTGGGGGAGGGGAGGCGGGTTTGCTCAGTCATGAAGCGAAATTTAAGATGGCAGGCGAACCAAGAGCCACTGAGAATAAAAATGATGATTGATTGATATGTGGGGTTTAACATCCCAAAACCACCATATGATTTTGAGAGATGCCCTGGTGGAGGGCTCCAAAAATTTCGCCCACCTGGGGTTCTTTAGCGTGCACCCAAATCTGAGCGCACAAGCCTGCATTTTCGCCTCTAACCAAAATACAGCCGCCGCAGCCGGGATTTGATCCCGCGACCTGTGTGCCAGCAGCTAAGTATCTTAAATCAGCACCTTAGTACCTTAGCCACTTGACCACTAGGGCGGGGCAGAATAAAAAAAATGCACAGCCGTGGTTCCAATAAAATGCTTCATTTAGAATGCACTCCTTCGAAAACAGTGAATGAAACTGAAAATAGCAGAAGAGAAGGGTGCCTCTATCATTGAAACATCGTGCAAATCTCAAAAAAAGGAAGGGGCCACTTCCTCAGGTGGGGGCGCTTCCTCGGTATTTAACGGTAGTTAAAAGCACCACAAGAGATAACTTCCATCCCATAAAATCTAGTTTTACCTGTGCTAGTTCAAACCTTATCTACATGGTCAAATGTTCATCGGTCCCAAACGGTAAATTGTAGAAACGACACAGTCCGTTAGTATTAGATTTAATGGGTGGCCACAAAAAAGAAATTACTTAACGCAGAGAATTTAATGTAGCAGATCACACTTGTCGTACTTCAGTCAAACTTAAGGTCCCCAAGAGAGAATATACACCGAGTCACACCTTTATTTACAATTTCAACACACCCCAGCCAGCAGCTATAAACATTTTTATGGGGGCTCTTGAATTCGTCTGATATGGTAAACACAGCAAGAACCAATGAGTGTTGCGCCTTTATTCAAGGAATTCCTAAATTACCATTGGTGCTTCCTCTTACAACTGTAATTCAGCGAAAGATCTCCCCACTGACCTGACTCATTCGAGGACACACCAGCTGCCAAAGCTGCTCGATATACGAAACAATGTCTGAATCAGCTTGCAGCCTAAAAACACAAGAACAAGCGCTACAGAAATTTCGGCCCGAGAACGGACTGCCCCGCAACCAGTTTTCACCGCACTTTCTTGTTTGGCTGTGGGTGCTTCCCACTTCTGCACCGGGTATCTCTATGAAATTCGTCAGCAGGTATCACAAACCCTACGGACTCCTTCAGCAAACTTCTATCAACTACCTCATCGAATCTCTCATGCTCACAGTTGACCTGAGCTGCCGAGGCCACGTAACCGTTCACATGGATCGCCTCAAACCGTTTCGCAAACCTCTTGTCCTCACGACACCTTAGAACAGCTCCACCTTTAGGGAGGGGAAAATATGGAATGAAGAAATACATCATAAAGACTCCGCAGTCACATCGTCAGCACTAAGCAGGGGAAACTCGAGCTGGAAATTGCTATTTAGCCGGCTAGGCCTACGCTCCTGTGCTATAATATATTTCAGTTTCACATGTCAAGACAACGTTTAAGTTTTTATTATACCTAAAACATCATCATCTTTATTTTTATGCTCACTGCATGACAAAAGCCTCTCTTAGCATAACCAGAGTGTTGCACTACATGGAAACATCCCAGTGCTCACCTGTGATAGAGCCAGGAATGCAAACAACTTCTGCAGGCTCTTCAGGATGGTCCTTGGTGGTAAAGTGTCAGTTTGAAGCAGCTGGTTTCTCAAGCTACAAGCAGTGAAAGCACATGTGCTATGAAGATCCCACACAAGCATTCACAAACCATCCTAGAGAGAATATCAATTTATTTCAAATGGTAGGAACCATTTCAGGACAACTGTTAATTGAAGCAATGTCACCCTGCCACGCCATGTACCACTCCTTTCGTCCCAATTGACATGCTAGGCCATCTATCAATGCCAGATGTGTTTAATTATTAGTTGTGTCTAAACTATCATGCACTAAGCCTTTTAACGAAGGCAGTAATTTTACGGAAGAAAACCAAGCACACGTTCTCAATAAAGTGGAGCAGCTGCTAGTATTATCTCTTTCCCTACTGCAACTATAGTGCATTAACTGCGGATCATAGAAACATTCAGCCTCATTCCTGGACTCATTCCTGGACATATGGCACCCTCTATTGCGAGTAATTTAATTTTCCCTGAGGTGACTTTGATATTTACAAAAAAAAACTGTTATGAGATCACAAGGGTCACGTGAGGCAAGTTGTCCGCCACTGCCAACAGTGTCCATAACCACTATCACACGAAATTTTTTCTCACGAGTTTTCTGATTCAATTGAGTTAAAAGGTCCGAATAGAACTCCCCGATCATGGTTTTACCCTATTCAAGATAATCCACAAGCAGAATGCCTTTATTGTCCCAAAAACAGACAGAGGCCATCTCCTTTACTGCGGAAGGTTTGACTTTATTTGGTGCAGAAGACCTGGTTTCAGACCACTGCTTTGAATGTGGTTTCGATTCTGGTGTGTAATGGTAAATCCAAGTTTCATCCATTATTATAAATGTGCGAGACAGTCTGCTAGATTTTTGTTATACAGCTCCAAAGCATGCTGTGACATCATCATGCAGTTGCGTTTCTGCTCAGGAGTAAGGATGTGTGGCATCCATCTTGCACTGAGCTTCTTCATATGTAGTTCATAGTACAAAATGTGACCTACACTTTTCACTGAGATACCAACCTCCACGGCAGTTTCGCGCAACTTCACTTTCCTGTCTTCCAAAACCATATCGTGCACACGGTCAATCAATTAAGGAGTTGTTCGCGCGGGTCATCTTCAATGCTATCTCTCCCTCGCTTAAACTTAGCAGCACATTTCCTGACTGCAGAGTATGAAGGTGAATATTTCCTGTAAACTTTAACAAACCATTTGTAAGCTTCATTTGGAGAGAAACCTTCTTTTACAAAAGAACTTTGTCCGGTACTCAAGCTTCTGCATCCTTTACGGTGCTTTTCACTACACCCTGTGATCAACTGTCAAAGCCAAACTGCTGGTCACCACTGGATGGCGTTTCATCCGAGAATTGCAGAACCTTATATGAACGTGCACATCAGTTCCAGCTCACGTGATTCTTACTGAGGCTGAGAACTTTTCAGACCACCCTTGTAAACCTCCAGTACCTCCCCCTCCCCCCCCAAAGCAGCGTAGCGGCCTTTTGCTTGTAAATTCAAGCATGCACACACGGTGCGACTGGTTACGGTTTCGTCCTGCTAGTAGTTAACACTTCTCGCACCTGCAAAGCTGATTGCTGTCTGGTTTCCAACCTCTCACAGGGTGACTACTTCTGATTCTCTCATTTATTGCTGCTCAGGGCACAACTACATTTGTTTTTGTGTGGCGGTACACTAAGCAAAAAACACTGCTGTGTTTATGTTTTCTGTTTTGGGAAAAAAAAACTATCTCGATTTTGTAAGCAATAAGATGTATCATAGCTTTTCCACTCATTTTTCAGCCCGCTTGGGCGCACAACCATAGATATATTTTTCGTGCGCTCACTTGTGCAGTGCGTGTACGCTATAGAAGTGCACGCTGGTTGCTCTGCTGCTAGTGAATCGAGCGGCCATTCTCCTAATGGGGACGTCTTGGTCTCCAAATGCCAAATCTGATTAATTGGATTTCAGTTGATCAGAAGAAGATTTACTTACAAGTTCCAACTTCGACAATCATGACAAAGCAACAACTCGAAAGCGTGTGCGACGATACAAATATGATCGGATCAAAGGTGACCATTCCTTAGTGCTTAGTGTTATAGCAAAGTTTCTTTTCAAAAAAAAGTACTCTGGTGCACATAATTTTATATGACAGTGAGCTACATTTATTCTAATGCATAATTCTTATTTATAAAAGATTGTGAAAGTGTTTCTGTTTAGGATACTTCTTGGTGTTTGAATAAACTACGTGCACATAACAACACTAAATAGTTTTGTCACTTTACGGTCACGAAAAAAAAGTTTTGGGTATTTCATAAATAGAAATGTTTAAAGAATTTATTCCAGCAAAAAAGAAAGATTACCTATGTTTGGCACGCATTTCACAAAAAAATTTCACCTTGAAAGGATTAACAAGCAGCAGAGAGTCTGAGTGTATCGGATCTCAAAGAAGTGTTCTATTGGCAATCAGACCTGTGCGCCGGTACTGAATATGCCGGCAACGACACGCGGGTGTTTTATTCTCCGCTGGCGGCGGCTCATCAAATAGGCGGTGGCGCGGAAGGGGCGGGGGGTATGTATTTTAGGGTTAGGAGAAGAGAGCAAAGAATCATTCGAATTGAGAAAAATGGAAAGGAATTTGCCAATACCATGGAAATATGGACAGTCTCCTTGAGCAAAGCTCTGTATAACTAGATTTCCCTTCGGCTCTGCGCAGCATGCTGGTGGTGTTCCGTGGCTCCGAAGTATGATGGTGGAAGCCACCTTCATTTTCTTGTGCTGCCCATTGCCCTTTTTGGCAGGAATTCGGTAGGAGCCGAGAAAAACCGCCATCGCCAGGATGGAAGTCTCCTTTATAAAAAAGTGCCTCGCGAGCTTTCCGCTATGGAAGGGAGCATGCGCTGCCCCATCGGGAAGGGGCGGATTGGACCCACCAATGTCTGTGCCTTAGTTTCTTAAGACGTAAATATTGTCCTAGCGGCAATATAAACAGTTGTGAATACCTTTTGCCTTGACTAGCACGCACATAGTATTGAAAAATAAGGTGCAAGGAAAAAGCGTAGGCATGCAGCAACATGTGACCGGGCGCTTAAGTGACGGGAAGTTGCTATAACTTGTGATGTACACGTATCCCGAAGGAGTACGGCCACTAGCGTGGGTCCGGTCTTAGCGAGCCGCAGGGCACGCGTTAACCGTCGCCGGGGCGAGAACACGATACTGCTCAAAGTCGCAACACTTTATTGTGGCAACACCAAACGCAGTAAAGCCCGTTGCAAAGGCGCGATGGGAAAGCAAATGGGCTTATCCACGCCACGGGCACAAAAGTACTACACAGGGTGCCACGAGCACGTCTCCGCGGTAAACATGATCCACGTCAGCGAAGTCCGACGAGCCCCGAGCGACGGGAGCTGACGGACGGAAAAGATTGCGTGGCTCATCATTTGCAGTCCCGGAGAGTATCTGTTTGCCCGCTCCCAACACAGCGCGCGAAAACCTCTCGGGAGACTACGCGCGCGGCGCCACAGTCAACATCCGCTACCGGGTGAGGGGGTTAAACGTCACTTCACTCTCCCAGCGCGGCAGACAGCAAAGGAAGGGAAACATGTCGGGACATGAGAACGGCAGAAAAGGCGGCAAAGCCCGCGCAAAGGCAGCGGGCTAGCCTCAGTTCCCACAAACTGAACTAATTTTGTCCGAAGGACCACTGACATCGCATACTTTTATTTGCAATAAATTATGCTACCTCAGCAGGGTAGTGAAGAATTCTGACAATTCATACTGCAATTTTGTAGCATGGCAGACACTCACCGTGAGGTCATGTAAAGTGCCTGGAGGACGCTGTTGGCATAGCACGTGTTGCCCAGGTTGAGCAGCCCAACAAGCTCAGCCTCACGACGTACCAGGGCAGATGGCTCTCCCACAATGCCTCCTATGTAGCGCTCTGTGGCCGAAGACAACCGGTACTGGTTCAGGAGTTGCTGCATGTCATCTACACTAGGTGTAGCTGCCGACACATCCTGAAACAGTGGCCATCGTGATACTTATTTACAGAAGCAGTCCTCTCTTTTCCACAGCTGATTCACTGTCATTAGAGCTGTGCAATCCAGACAAATATTCGGGATGAGCACTCGCCTTAATTCCACAGCAAACATGCAGCGAATTCCACAGGAATGCAGGAAACATGCAAACTGTCTTGCCAGGTGTTGAATGGCATATCACTGGCTTAAGCGAGGTTCAAAGAACTGGGGCGCACATTCAGGGCCGACTAATACTTTTTTATAAAAGGCTTTCTGAGAAGCAAGATTATTGCTCAGGGTTCCTATTTAACATTATGGGTAACATTAACGAATTAAACGGTATCAATGCAAGGGCAGCAAACCTTGTGATAAAAATAAATTAGAGATCTATGTAGTTTATCTAAAGACCAGCTTCCATCCTACTATCTAGCTCATAATAATACAAAGGCTTGCTCCAAGGCTGGCTATGATGAGAAGAAGCTAGAACAGTTTTATCATGAGGAGGCTGAAGTGACAATCTTGGGGGAGTACAATGCAAAAGTAAGAAGAAAACAGAAGGGGGAAGAAGCAACTTGGGCGCAGGAATAGCAGAGGGGAGATTCTCTTCATAAAGCATGAAGTGGACATCAAGAAGCTGAGACGCCTGTTGACAAGCCCTCAGAGCTTTTTCAGGCATAGGTGAGCTGTTTGTTAACTACAGCAAAGTAAAAGCATTCTTTTTTTTAACAACTTCACAGTCTTTGGGGAGTCCAAAAGATCAAGATGTTGACTGTGGATAAAGTATGTACAGCGTTATGCCACAGGCATGATCCTCGTTCAGGAGCGCTTCTTTCCATGAGAACGAGCGCAGTTCAGACAAATTCCCCCCCCCCCCCCCCCTCTTTTCTGCACCACCTTCCACGCAGAAGGCGGCACTGTGCAGTTCCGGGCAAAGCGTCGCCCCCTTCATCGAGCCACCGTGCCGTTCCCGGGAAAGCTTCACCTTCTCCTCCAAGCACCGGGAACTGGTCTTGTAGAAGAGACCAAAACGTTATTTAAGGACGTGCCTGCCCCAGTTTAGAGGATTTTGCCCCAGCCGACGTTGTGGTGCTGGCCGTCTCTGTACAAACTATAACCTATTATAGTGAACATTCCTACCTGTTGCTGTTTTCAAAACCAATTGCCTCCCTATTCTGCCTCTGGGCGAAGGCCTCAGTGAAGTTCGTTCAACTGCTCACTGCCCTTGGCTACCACTACCATCGCGCCACAGCGAATTCCTAACAGTGGTGGCAGCGGTGAGATCTCATCAAACCTGACTTCATAACACCAGTAACAATTTGGCGAGTAAGATTGAACAAATGTGCATTTGCCAGGAGGTCTCATTTTGAGCTGGCAAATCACCTTGAGTGCATCTAGCACGGCATCGTAGAGGTCAGGAAAGCCCGAGTGCAGGTACATCATAGTGTACGACAGGCTGGCCAGCTCCTGAAGAACTGGGTCATTCTGCAGTTGCTTCACAAACAGCGGCAGATGAGGCAGGATCTGCACAGTGATGGCAGGAGTAAGGTTCACTGAGACACATGAGTTCCTGGTCAAATTAAAGGCCTGCAATGACTCGAAAAATAATACTTATTGCAAGCTTAGACACGATTATGAGGCATACTGCAGTGTTGTTATTTAACATGCACCTGAATCTACTCGCATGAGTGGTTTTCACATATCCCCAATACGGGTGCCGTGCATCAAACCCTTTAGCTCAGCAACACGACACCCAGCATGCAGAGCTACCATAGAGGGGGGTACCCAGAAAAATACATTACACAAAACCTTATCAATGAGCTTTGGCTGCTGATGCATGTGCATTCTGAGTTCACCACCAAACCTTAGAAGCAAATCTTGAACACCAAAGATGGTATTATGGCTTTCATGCTCATTTCTGTGCTCTTATGTGCAGCACAAAGAACTTAAAAAAGATGTTTTCAGTGGCTAGGTTAGGGTAGCTTCAGTTTAAGAAGTAATCTGTCCAGTCTGGAAAAAAAAAAGAGAGTGACAAACCTTGTGGAAAAGAGCCGGAGAGTGCTGGTATGATAGCAGCATAAAAGCCAGCACTGGGAATGCGCACTTGCGGGTCAACGGCTGCACAGCCCTGCAGAACACCTGGGACACGAAACAGGGTTGTTCGATATTAACGCCTTGAAAACCATGCATGCCACTGATCAACATTTCCAATCCAGTGAGTACAGCCACACGTTCACATCTGTGTAGAGCGTACGAGCAGCTGGCATTGCTCTACGAGGTGACACCTTGTGGCAGTTGCGGCCTCTGACAAAATGTATCCCGAAGCATGCAAGGCTCGATATACATGCTGACCTGTTTTGAGCAAGTGACAACATTCAAAGGTGCACTTGCATAACGAGGATGCACGCTCCCTCAGGGAACCTTCGGCATATCAAATCCAAAAGATGATACGTTTCTGTTGATAACACGTGCCTAGTAGGAGTTATCTGTACATGCCCTTGCAATTATTCAAATAAGCATGCACAGCGTGCCTTTGCAGTCGTTAGTGTTCGTGATGTCTTGACTTCCTTCTAGTGTCCATTTTGCACGCCCTGTTCTTTTTAGAATGAATACTTACCAACCAGTTAAGCTCTCTTTAATTCTCAGAGTGCAATGCGCCATAAGCATGATGCTCTTTATCTACTTCTATGTCAGAAATCTCCAGTCAGCTGCATTACTGAGCGCATACAGCCATCCACAAACCAATGACACTGCACCCCCGCAAAAAAGCTCATGTCGACCAACTGAAACCTCAGTGCAACTCTTGACTATACTCCATTTGAACACCACCGTTCAGCACTACAAAGGTTACGGGGTGTAAGCAAGCAATACGTTTGCACAGCAAAACATAGTTCCAGGTATAATTACCTCACAATTGATAGGCTTGAGACATTAACACTTGTTTGGCATGTGTTACGTCACATTGATACATGATATTGTTTGTTCTTCACATTGATGTCATATGCCCTTAATTGCTGTATCAGAACTGCCGGTAACTGTGGTAACAAATCAATATGGCAGCACCAATGCACATGCAACAGCCCACTAAGAAGCGAACTCGCTTTTGCTGTTCACCCACTGCACTGGCAGTAAAAAAGGAATGGTGAAATGTGCTTTATGCCAACTCGCGTTGCTTCTTTACCTGCTAAGCCCAATGCGCTGAGAATTTGGTAATGGTTCTTGGAATTAGTGCAGTATAGTCACGAGTACATTGCTGTCCAAGCATAACCCTAAAGTAAATACAAGTGCCAGTTTGTAACTTACAGGCCACACAGCACACGACGGCCAGCTGCGTAATATTGAAGCGGAGTGCACCAGCTGCGATGGGTGCAGCCATTTTCTTTTCTCAGCAATGCCGTTTATTCACTTTGCTCACCCTACACCGAGCAGATGAATACATGTGTGGAGGCTAATAGGCCTTCCTAGTGGCTAAGGGGCTTATAGCCTTGACAGTGCTGAAAGGAGATGGAGTATACCTCCCATTTCAGAGGTTTCTAGGATTGTTTTTAGCTCACTGGGGGGTGGTTGTAGTGACAAGTATAGAGAAGATTTATAAGAAAGTTGTTCTTGCTTCTTGCACTTCCTCTGCCCAACCATCTTGCCAGCGTTTCTTGGTTCCCAGAACTATAAATGCCTAAAGTGCTTGATGCTAAATGGGTGCTGTACAAACTTGATAGATGCTCTCTGTTGGAATTTTCTTCCACTACGTTTATTGCATCTTCACCATAATTTCAAAAATATATATATATATAGAACAAAAGAAGCTGCAGAATTGGTTTCAGGTATTTTATTACATCGACTAACATAAGTTACATGTGAAAGTGTAAAAAAGAAAGACAATGCAGCATAAAAACACAGAACACATGCAGTAAGCCTTGATAACGTACAGTGACTGCTAAATGGGTAAAATGCCAGATTATTGTCAAGAAGAATGATAGAACATTACACAACCATATACTGATGAGTATTTGGTGCAAAATATGTTCGTAATATTACAGTGACTTTTACTAAGTTAGATACCAGGGACATGTCGCAATCACTATTTATTTAGGAGAAGTGCCGATTGACATAAGAGATAGGTCTTAAAATATTCTTGAAATTCTTGATAAATTATGGTAGCACTTCTCGTTGTAAGTGTGAGAGTGTGTATGTGTGTATGTGAAGATTTGAAATATGCAATTATGTTTCTATTAAAATATGTAGTTTTTAAAATATCAAGCATTTCAATGCGCACATTGCACTGTCATCTTTTTTATGTTTTTGTTCGCTAGCGCTGAACATGCTTTCGAGAGCTCTTTTTTCCAGCCATATTTTTCCTAAACTGAAAGGGTTATAAGTAGATCAGAATATCTAAACAATCAGGAATGAAAACTGTATAAAAAAAAAAGAAATTAATGTTCTAAACACATTTGAACAAAGATTTGGTGTGCGGAACATATGCCACTGAAATCCCAGCTTGACGTCAACTCCCTCTTTAATTGTGAATGCAATTGTGAATGGAGCCCGAATGGCTGCTTTGCTACAATATATTTCGCTCCTCAAACGGCCACTCACCAGGCCCCACACCGAATTTTAATTAGACAGTGGAAGTTGTTGGGTGTCTGACGAGGAACGTTTTGCCATAAAAATTTTTCGAATCGGTTCATCACGAGCGGAGAAAACAGGTGTTTCAAAGCGGCGCAAAACAAGGATGAGAGAATGCGAGCTCGAAACCCTTGCCACTTCTCTGCGTAGCCTTCACAAGCCAAATCTCTTCCCCACCCTCTCCAGCATCCGACCATGAGGGGACATGCGCATGACGTGCGCAAACAAGTCTAACCACCGAGCACGCAAACAGCATTGCTTTGTTGACCAGCGTTATTTTGTTGTCTTCTGCCTGTTCCTGCAGGATGGTTTAGAAACGCTGGCTTAGACACGGTAGAGTAGATGAGTACAATGAGTGTGCGAACGCGTAGGAGCGTTCCATGGAGGTCGTCTGCTCAATGCGCTGATCGCGGGGACCCGAACGCATGCAAAACGCTGGCACATCAGCTCCGCATCTCGTAGCACTTTACGGAAATAAAAAATGAAAGAAAAACGTGCAAAAATTTTATTGCATCTCATTATATTCAATAGTGAGTATTACCATTATGTTGTGTATTGATCGTATTTTTATTGTTAATCAAGCTTATTCATTATTACTCACAAATCCGTATACTATTGCTGTATTTTTTGTAATTACCCCATTTATGTAGCCATAGGAGGTCCCCCTGTCAGTTTCTTTGAAACTTTGGGACCTCCTGCTGTAATAACGCTAACCATGTAGCTCAACTGAACTATTTAATAAACTTGACTTGACTTGACTTACTGCAAGTTTTATTTATCTTTTAAAGTAACAAATACATACACTATGCATGTTGTATTAAATAATTTTTTTCTATGTCACGTGGTATACTGTTGACAACGTCAGAGCAGAGTAGTCTACGTAGAGGACCAATGTCATTGCATTGACATGTACAGGGAGCCATTTATACGCCTACGTCATGCCCTCATTCTCTAGGCGTGCGCTGGCAGAGGGGCGGGGGAGCAGCGTTCATCTTGAAATTCGATCCATTTCCGCGGCGGGTGGTGTTGCAAATTTTGGCAGATGTGATCATGAACGCCTCATCTACCCATTGCGCTTGTCAGCTCAAAATTGTCAAACGTGGTGAGTGGCCCTTTAATGTTTAATTTACAATGAAATTCATTTAAGTGAGCTTAGTTAAATCAATGTTTCACATTTTTAATCTACTTGATAGCAGTCTTGCTCATTTTTTTATCTTTTGAAGTGCGATGAAGAATTCTTGCTAGATTATGCACTTTACGAAACCGGGGCTCAGTGGCAAATAGGCGCGGATGCATGAAAAAAAAACTTTAGTTTTTTTTCATGTGGGGTCTGAAGTGGCGAGCACCAAGCTCTAGGACTGAATGAACACAGTAGACATGGTCGAAACGAACTAAAACAACACACATTTATTTAACTACTTTTAGACCGACTATATAACCAGCCGAATTACTACATCAATTGTGACCAACACGCTAAACAACCTGACACAGTATTGCACTACACTCAAAAACTAAAAAACACAAGGACACGCACAAGGCAGCTTCGCAAACGCTTGACTCACCACGAGGGCCCCCGGCAAATGACCTGCAGTGCCGTGCACCAGGGACCCACACAACAGACAACCGTTCGCGCAAACTACCACCCGCCAAAGAGACCTGCTTATCTCTCCTGTGCCGCCACCACATCTTCCCGCCAGGCGTCACTGCTGGCTCCACCGTTCTAACCATGATGATGATGGTGGTGATAAACGCTTGCGAGCACAACGCCACCTACCGCTCTATAATTGTAACTCCTGCACGCAGCTTCTGCGCGAGACACGTGCGACGTGCGCCATAACGCGCAAACAACCTTGCAGGGGGTGTTAGCACCCCACAAACGTTAGCGCTCATCTGGTGGAGCTTTCCTTTTTGTGTGTGTTTCTTACAGTTTTTCAAGTTAATACAATTTTAACTAGCAAAAAGAGAAACAAAAGATGTATGCTTGGGGTGTTTGGCTCTGACAGGGCATTTTTTTTTTCATTGGCACTGCACCTAATTGAGGTACAGCTATAGAAGCAAATGTTCCCTGCATGTCTCACTCTCATTCAAACTCTGTAACATCGTGAGATGAATAACATTCCCTTGAGCAAAATTACTTGAGAAGAACCATGACTTCATTAAGCACAAGCACATACATACCATGTCAACCGAGGACTCAAAGAGGTCGGTAATAAGAGCAAAGCGTCCTGTAGCCACAAATCCACGCAGCGCTGCCATGACCCAGAGGTGCATTGAGGTCATGCCAGGCCAGGCCAAACACTGCAGCAGCCGACGGGATGCTCGCACCAGTGGTTCCACATCAGCAGAGCCACTCAGACTGTTGCTCATGGAGCAGGTGGCCGTCGGCACCAGAGAAGGCGGCAGGAGCTGCACAATCAATAGTTACAGTGATGCGATTGACCGAAGCTACTTTAGCATCCTCAGCTTCCGGAGCAGATAAAACCCCCGCCTCAAAGCAGCATATGAGTTATTTGGAGAAGTTTGCAGTCTCACATTTTCTAATGCAAATGTTGATGTCACAAACATGAAGCAGTTGCACCACGTTTAATGAAATAGATGTATTTTCACCTGAATGCCTATTTCATAAAATTTCAGACGGTGAAATTACCTTACTGCTCATAGTTTATTTTTGCCAAAACCTCAGTTTCTTGACAGTCCAGGAACCATTGGTAACCACAAATTTGCACATAATGCAGTTCATACACTGTAAACAGACCTTTACAGCCACTACAAGCAAGAAAATCATCCTTTTTCTCAAAAAGAACGAGCAGGAAGGGGGTAGTAAGTTTGTTTTGCTTCCCAAGATAGCCTTTTGGTTGGTGTAGGGTAGGGGTCTCAAACGCGACACCCGCAGCTTCACAATAAACAAACTTCTCTGCCTTTGGTAAACAGTATTTGCATTACATTCACACCTATTGCGATAAATACTTTCTTTGTCTAAGCCAGAGAAACAGAAGTGATCTCAAGCAGTTTCACACAATAACCTGGACAGAAAACTGGCGCTGCGATCATTGCACCACCATGAGAATGATAGGAAGTACAGACTTTGGATTAAATGGTGTTAGCTCGCAAAGTGTCTACAAGTCTTTCTCTACAGTTTCAGTTTCGTTTTTAGCACAGCATGGGTAGTGGGCTGTAGTGCAAGGCAATCAAACAAGACATTTGTTGTTCAGAGAGGCTGAACCCCACTGGGGCTCTTGGTTTTCTATGACGTCACAGCTTCACAGGTTGTGTTCGACTATTTTAGCGAAGCGTTGTGCCCTAACCACTGCGCACAGACGTAGTGTCAAATGCCAGTGCAAGACACCACAGAGAGTGCATGTTTTCGTATAAGCACATCTTTGCAAAACTGAACCGACTGCAAAATGACAACTGTGGTAGTTCTCGCCATCTGGCCAAACGACAAAATACAATGCTGCCTCAACACCTGCGAAAACATTTATTAGAAAAGAGAGCAATCAAACAGCTAACAGCTGAAGGTCTTCACAGCCACCGCACATGCCATTCAATGTTCAGCCTTCATCACACCGGTCTTGCAATCCACGCGCGCACACACCTCGCTAGTTCGCCACAAAACTCTTCAAGCAATGTGTCAGCTAATGCTTTTGTAGGCAATCTATGAGGCACGCACACCCCTACGGGGCAGCATGTGCCGTTATTGGGTGGCGATGCATGTGATTCCCACACATTCCGTACCTCAGAAAAAGTTCGTTGCTGGTAGATAATTTCGTTGCATCTCCCAGCATCGTCCTTGCCATTCGTCACCGTCGTTGGCCTTGTTGACGATGTCACCTTCATTGCTGTTGGCGCCGTCTTGGGCACTTTGCCAAAAGCCATAGCGGTCACGGGCGTTGTTGCAGCCGCCACTGCAGCTAGCGTCCACACCTCGTAATTGCACAGGGCGCCGCCGGGCTCGTGCTTCATGCACTTGGTGAAGTGACAACAGCATGTGCCCGGAGTCTTTCTCGCAACGAAAGCCGCAGTGTGCATTACCTGGTTGGCCTTACCGAGCAGTGCGTTGTGGTTACCCGTCTGAGCGGTGACGGCCAGACCACTCACACACAGGTTGCAGATAGGGTAGTTTTTTGCGGTTGCTTCTGCTGTCATCTTTGTGGCTATGTAAGCCACTTTCTTGCGTGCAACGGCCTTTTTAGTGACATCTTCCCTGGCCTCCATAGTCATCACTGCTTCAAGCCTTTTTCGGAAACGGTGTCTCGTCGCCGGCAGCCTCAGAATCTTTCGGTATCTCTGCACAGCCACGCCACTCACTCTCACAACAGTGGCCTGGCCCTTGTCCGCCACACCCAATTTCAAGTAGTCGTTGCAGTTGGAAGGCATGGTCAAAGCCACCACAGCCTCATCTCTGGTACTTTTGTCTTCTGTTGCAGCCAACACTTCTGCGGCATTTTCTAGCTTGTCCTTGGCATGCCGGACCGTGGGCTCCTCGGCCACGTGACTCGTGTCTCCGAATTCTATAACAGAGTCTTCCGTGACACACTTTTTATCCTCGTGTGTGGCCACTGCCAGGGCGTGGTCCACTGATGGCTCCGTAACTTGAGCCTCCCCATCGGCAGCACTGTCATCTCCAGTTTCATCGTCTTGCAATGGTGTTGATTTCTGTCGAAACGAGGGCAGCGGCCATTCGGCATAGTCCGTAGTCGAGACCCTAACGCGCCTCGCAGCACAATAGGTCATGAACTCAGCCCGTCCCATCGCCGCACAGAACACTGCAGAGACTATATTGAGCCATTCCATTATTATCTGGAGGAGTCGTTCCAGCGCCGCATCCATCTTGCTTGCCAGATGTGGCCACTTATACCCCTTGGGCGCCACTTGTCTTAGTTCTCACTGTCTGGCCAAACGACAGAATACAACGCTGCCCCAACACTTGCGAAAACATGTATTAGCAAGGGGAACAATCAAACAGTTAACGGCTAAAGGTCTTCACGGCCACCGCACATGCTTCAACGTTCAGCATTCCCCACGCCAGTCCGTTACCAACTCCCCAAGCAATGTGTCAGCTAGTGCTTTTGTAGACAATCTGTGGGACGTGCGCACCCCTACTGCACAGCACATGTTGTTATCGAGTGGCAATGCACGTGATTCCCACATAGCATAGCTAAGTAGATGCACCTTCAGGCTCTTCTGATGCGACAAAATGAGAGGTGGTAATATTAGGGGCAGGCCGCAAAGCGGATGACAGCATGCAGTAGTCAGAAAAAGTGGCGTATAATGTAAAAGGAACAGATAAATTTAATCTCTTGTTCTGCAAGGACTGTGACACAGTAGATTCTATCATCTGTGAGCGCCAGCGTTTTCACACCGCCAAAAGCCAACACATTGCCCATCAATTGACCCGACTTCCTAACGCGGCAGCAATGTGGTCCTGTGAAGGCACCCATCTACCAGAGGCACTGCTGACTGCGGAGCACGTGATGAAGATAGTGTGACGTGAACTCAGAACTATCTCTCCTGCTTCCAAGTGCTCTCATTCCTGTGATTCACGCTCGGAAATGGTACCACTAGAGCATGCCATTGTCCGTCTTTCTAATATTGGCCTAGACTCTGTGCACTGCCACTCCCTTCCAACCGATTGACCGTGGTCCGAGACTTTCGTCCACCCAAGGCCAGGAGCTCCCCTGCATTCCCACTGAGTGCAGCACTGCTGACAACCGGTTCATTTGCTTCAACTGCCATCGTATTGGCCACGTGACTCTATATTGCAACAGCAAGTGGTATTGACATCAGGCATCCTGTAAATCCAACCCTCGCCCAGAGACAAATTATGGTCAATTCCAACCTCACCATTAGTCGCCTCAGTTCACCAGCTGCTCCCGTGCCTTACCGTCGCTCACCATCACCGCATGATCACCAGTCCCACTCACCGCTATCTTGTCACCCATCATATTGTTCACCCCAATCCTGCCATCTTGCATCGCCTACTTCCCACCAGTCTTCGGAAAACTAGATGATACAGCAATATTGTTAAGGTTGTCCATGAACATGTTCGAATAAGGCTGATTGATTGATTGATTGATATGTGGGGTTTAACGTCCCAGTTCGAATAAGGCTATTCACCGATGCTTGTGTCTTGTTTAAAGAAACTATTACCCTGAATGATTAACGATTTCCAAATCCCTGCCTTACTTATGTTTTTCAATGAAATAACCAATGGGATATAAAACAGTGTACATGCTCTTCGGACTCACATACTGAGAAAGGTCAGTGAATACAAGTACCTTGGCATAACGATAACAAAGAACTTAAGTTGGAACATGCATGTACCCGACACTTGCACATTATCTTTCTGTAAATTATGCTTTCTTAAGTACAAACTTTGTTCAGCCCTGCCATCGGTAAAGTTGTTAGTCTATACAGTCAATCCCTGATATATCAAAATAGGATATATCGAATTATTGGCTATATCAAACAGTTGAGAAATCTCCTCGAATTTCCCATGCAAAAGTGTGGGACCGGTGCACCCGCCATATCAAATGCTGCGCCGCGCCGAAGCTCAGAAAGTGCATTTTTTTTAGCAAATATTCATCCATTTTCCGCCCCATTCTAACAAGTTCTGATCCTTTTTTGCGCCCAGGTCACGAAAAAGAGATGTTATTTCCTCGCGCTGATCTGGTTTGTTGTACGACACTTGCCAGTGCACCAGTATGCTTCATGCGTGATCTGCAGGTCTTAACACATGGGCGAAGTGTATTTAAAAAAGACCGATTGCCGAGAACACCGAAATCAGAATGCGAAGTGACTCTGCAATTTTGTTGCAATGTTCGAACTCCCTACCTTGTTTGTTAGTGCACAATGGCATGCGATGAGCATGCGATCATGAAAAGCATGGCCCTCGAGATGTGCAGTGTTTTTGATTTTATCGATATTGCCTACATGTCCATGATAAGAATGCAGTGTTGCTTTTTGAACCTAGAGTACTTATTGCCTCGTTCCTAATAAATCCTCATTTCGGAGTTGAACTGAACATTTTTGACCCGCACCGTAATGATAAAAAGTCACAGTTTCGTCAAAAAGTTAGGGCAATGAATGCCAGTAGCAACATATCCAAATGTTTTACGAAGCAAGGCTAGCATTTTTAGGAGCAATACTAATTGCAGTAGACATGCGCTTGCCAAGTAATCAAGTGTCCTGCAGTGTGGTCATAGTAGATGTCCACAACAAGGCTCGTGCATAGTGACGGCGTTGACGAGAAGCACCTCCCATGGGCAGTGCAAGCTGGTACTCATTGAGTTTCTCACAATCATACCTAGAAGAAAATCTGGCGATGGTGAGCTGCTGGATGCAAGGGAATGCCGGGATACGTGAGCTTTGAACTTGACTCGGATTTGTATACCTCAAAGACACGT